GGCAGGGCCAGGCCTTTGCTTCCCCTGTGCCAGAGCCGGGACTTCTGCCGACTTGCCTATTCTTACAGATGCTCCGGCAAATGCCTTTTAAATCCATAGTATCTGGAATATTTTGCCAACCGAGGTTAAGATGCTATGTTTTGAACTCTTGGTGGTAAAGGTCCTGAATAAGATATCTAAACTCTCGGCCTGCTGGTTGGCAGAGAGGAACTCAGCACCCCCAAACATCAACCATTTAACAGGTATATTTATGCGCACAAGAATTCAAACTGAGAGAAAGAAGAGTTGGACTTGGTGAGCAGTAGTGATTACTGGAGCTGTAACATCAGGTCGCGTCTGAACCGAAGTGTCTCCAGAGCCTGGCAGAGGCTCAGTTCAGCTGCAGTGACTCAAGAACAGAAACAAAGACCCTGAAGAAGTCTGGCCACGTAAGGAAGAACGAAATGGAGGCACAGATAGAGAGGGGCAGAGACGGGCTAGGGAGCTGCTCGAAAAGAAACAAGAAGTCCTTGGTCTGAAGATGTTTTCATCATCTATGGAGCCTGGCATAGCTTTGAACACCTTGCTAGTCACGGGCCCCTCTCAAGGCACAAAACATGCAGATGAGGTTCTTCATTAACGATCATAACACAGAAAACCCACACTTCGAACAGCTTCATCAGAACTTTAAACCCGGGGAGGAGACTTTGTCAGAACTTATTAGACCTTGTTTAACCATGTGGTTGCCAAAAAGCTTGTTCACAGAGACAAGTGTCATGGCTCTCTCTTTTGTTCAGTTGTGCTTGTGTTAATGGTTTTACCTGTTACTTCCTTGTGGGAATTTTTTAAGTCACTCGTCCACTTTATGGTTAGTTCAGTTAAAACTTAGCCCAGTTAACCTGCAAAGCCTCATGAGGAAGGAATGGGAGGAAGTGTCCTTTGGTCTGGGGAATGTAATTCCTGCCCCCTCCCTTCCATGTGACACCATGTCAAGTCAAACACCATCGTCAATCGTTTTATTAAATGTTAGTAATGATAAAATTAATTCATATACTGGGACCCACAAAATGGAGGCTGCCCCAAAAGGGTTAAATTATTTAATGGAAAAGTGAAATTATCAAGCAAGTAGAAAAAAATAAGGCAGATAAATGATCTGATCTCAGGCTACGAGAGGTCTTGTAAGGCAAAGAATAACAGCAGGTTTTATGTGGGGTCGATAGCTACATTATACATAAATTACCTTTCTGTGAATAAACCAGTAAGAAAATGAACAATGAACCAAGAGTAGAATTCCGTATTCGCACACACGAAAATACACCATGATGACTCTGAGGAAAGACTGAAGGTAGGGAACATACACACTGGAGTCACCTGAAGCAAACTGCTGAAAGTATTAAGATTACGAAGGCTGAGGCACAACGAAACACCATTCTTGTTCTAACCAGCCTGGCAACTTATACTTTTTGAACTTTCATCTCCTGCGTCAAAGCCTGGATAGACATCTGGACCTCCAGGTAGCACTCTAATTACTCTGAGGGACTCATGCATGAGGCCACTTGATTACCCCCTGAAGAATTCACGTATACTTCCACCTGACATCCATCATCCAGACTACTGGGAGATGACCAGGCCTCCTGGGACCTATCTCCTGGATCACCTGGCATCCATCATCCTGCCTGTCAGCTAACTGATAACTGTTCTGGACCAATCCCAGGCCTGAGAATGCAGGACTGATAATTCTCAAGAATGTGCTTTTTGCCAAATGCTTTTAACTTTTCTTTCTTCTCCCAAACACCTCTGGGTTTTTGCCTAGCTCTATTTCCAGTGTTCAGACTCCAAGGTCCTGGGATGAATCTCTATCATTCATTTCTGGCAAAGCTCCAGATTCTTGAGTTTGTTCAACAACTTTGGCACAGTGGAGAAAGACAATTACGTACTCTCATACGGCACTATGGGAATGTGATAATAATGATACAACAGTAATTTATCATGTGCCATGCAATCCTAGGCATTTTATTTGTAGTAACTCATTTACTTTTTACGGCAACATCATATGGTAGCACTACATCAGTCTCCCGGTCGAGGCACAGCCAGATTAAGGAACTTGGCCAAATCTTCTAGCTCAAAGGTGGCAACAGGCTTGACTTACCCAGCTGTCACAGTGGGCACAGTACCTCAGGTTGCCATACTTCTGTGCGTGTTACATGCTACTGAGTTGGCTCTGACTCTGGTGACCCTGTAATGTGCACAATGTCCCACCCTCGACAGCCCTGCCCAGCTCCTGGAGACTCCTGCCTCTGATTCTTGTCATGAAGTCGACCCCTCTCATATCTGGTCTCCCTCTTTTCCTTCTGCCTTCTATTTCCCCCAGAATTAGTGTCCCTTCCAAAGAACACTACCTTCTTCCAGTGTGCCTAAAGTAGGACAGCTTCAGTGTCGTCATGTGTGCCTCCAGCGATGTTTCCGGCTTGATTTGCTCTAGGACCCACCTGTTTGTCTTCCTGGCGGTCCAGGGTGTCTGCAGAGTTCTCCTCCAACACCGTATTTCGGGTGAATGTTGTTTCCTTATCAGGCTTCTTCACTGTCCGACACCCACATCCCATCATAGGAACTGGGAATGGGAGGGTTTAAATCATCTTAGCCTTGGTCTCTAATGACACATCTTCGGTCTTGGTGATCTTTCTTAATTCTTCTATTGCTGCCCTTCTGAGTCTCAGCCTCCTCATGATTTCTCGACTGCAGTCTCCATTTTAATTGATGACTGAACCAAGTGAAACAAAATCTGTAACAATTTTTGTCTTCAGTGTCTATGTTAAAGTTGTAGATTTCTTCTGTAGTCATGATTTTTGTCTCGATGTTCTAATGCAGTTCTGCTCTGGCACTTTCTTCTTTGACTTTCATCAGAGGTTGTTTCAAATCATTGCCTCCATACTTTTAGGGGCCCCTAAAAATGTTTAAATTTTAAAATCAGAAGAAAAACAAGAAAATGTTGAAGAAAACATTGTAATGTACAATACCAATAAGTTCATCTTTATGTCAATTCAGTTATAAATATAATTTTTAAAATTATTTTATGGAAGAGGCCCACAAAAGTAAAAGCATGTAGGGCCCAGGAAAGTCTGAATGTGGCCTTGTGTGGCAGAGCTACATTTTGATCTCAGGTAATGTGACATCTAACTGTAGGTTTCCTAGAAGATAACTTGCCAACATGTTTCAAAAGGCTAAAATTATCCATTCCTTTACTTTTTAATGATTTAAACTTAGACAGTAAGGACATGAACAATGATGTATGAAAAGGTATTTATTCATCATACTCTTCATTTGAAACAAAAAAAAATACGTGATAATAAAAGACTCGTTCACTATTGGCTGTCTACTTAGGGGCCTAGTGAATACTAGGAACTTCTGAATGGAGCTGAACTGAGGCGTAAACTGAGGACTCAGGAGAGCTAAATGTGAGGATGAGTAGAGCGGGAAGTGGAGGGAGGCCTGTATGCACTTGTAAGCATGTTCTTGAATTTATTTTTAAAGGAACTGGACCGGTGAAGAAAAGGTGAGGAACGCATTAGAGGACCCAGTACTTGGTAAAACAGAGATCAGCGAACACAATCAGAGGACTCCGAAGCATTTTCATAACAGGAGAGACTGAGCATTTGAACACAGAGGCCTTAAAGCTCATGTTAACCTTTGTCTTGAAAGCTCTGCTAGGCCAGTGAGAGATTTTAAGCAGTGGGGCAACATGCCCAGATGCACATTTTAGAATAATCACTGTGAATATAGTGTGCCTCGCACCTAGGTATGGCAGAGGAGGGCGAAAATGATGCAGCGGAGCGCACAAGAACGTGCATTCACCCAGTCGAGGGATGTTTCTTGAATCCCACAAATATTCACGGAGTGTCGGTGTTGCTCCTGGTACACAGTTCTTTCAAAAGCTTAGTGACGATGGAAGAAGAAAGAGAATTAAAAAGTGGTTTTAAAGTCAAGGGACAGTCTAAGACAGAAAAGACTTAAAACGCGATTATGCTGAGGAGTTGTAGCCATAGAAAAGGTGAGGTTAAAGATATGCCAAGAAGGGGGCTGGGGGGCACAGAAGAGCAGACAGTGAGAGGTTGCTTTAGAGAGGAGCAGGGCCACCCAGCCTTGAGACAGAAGGAAAACTAGTCCACTTGGGTGTGGCTATAGGTAATTTGTGGGGTTTGAGTGATGTAGTTGAGAAGAAATTGTAGAAATCCGTGCTATAATTTTACTGTATCTCTTAAGTTATAAAGAAGCTCCTTGTACATGGAAGCAACCGAAGTGTCCTATGCTAGATTGGACAAAGAAGCTGTGGTACATATATACGCTGGAATATTATGTAGCCATAGGAAGAGATGAAATACTGCCATTTGCAACAACATGGATGGACCTCGAGATAATGGTGCTAAGCGAAATAAGCCAGACAGAGAAAGTTGAAAATAACATTATATCACTTATATGTGGGATATAAACCTAAAAGCAACAAACAAACAGGACAAACAAATAGGGACTCATGGACATGGGCAATAGACTAGCGGTTACTAGAGCATAGGGGGAGGGGCTAAAAAGGAGGTAGATTAGGTAAAAGGAGTCAAATATGTGATGACAGAAAGATCGAACTATGAGAGGTGAACACACAATGTAAATATATATATGCCTTACAGTTAAAAAGTACAGTTGAAACTTACTACATTTCATTAACCCCTGTCACCATAAAAAATAAATTAATTAAAAAAATAATAAAATAAAGAAGCTCCTGGTATTATATTTTGACCAATTGGATGGAGGCCTGCCCTATCCCATCATTTGCATCTTTACATAACAACCAATCAGAACACACAATTCTGACCAATCGAGACAATGCGATTTGGACCAATCAAATTGTGCAAATTAGGATTCCTCATTTGCATAGAAATGGACCAATCGGGGACCAGGGTTGGAGCCTCCTCTATATAGGCAGCCTCCCCCTTGTCTGGGAGGAGTGCGCCTGCCTTTCCTCCAGGGCCTGCCTCCCCAGTGGGGACACTGGTCTCCTGAAAAAAGTTTCTCCTTCCATTGCGCCCCAAACTGGGGACTCCTGTTGGCCCTGGCTTGGTGGCAGCGGCCTTTTGTTGACAAGGTCACCTGGTGAGTAATGTAGTCACCACTGACTTCCATTTGCACTAAGGGGGGGGCGACAGGCCCGTCCTGACGGGGCTGCTGTGTGGGCTAGGTGCTCTGACCCAGGCCCTGGCCCGGTGCTAGCGTCATCGCTGTGCTCACAGGGGGCGATGCAGAGCTGGGTGATCACCACGGAGTGGGCGTCCACGGCCAGCTGCAGTGGGCTCCCAAGCGCTCAGCCGGGTCAAGGAGCAGGCAGTAACAGCCTACCTTTGCCGCCAAGCGTTCCACCGAGAGCCGCCCCTGCCCCAGGTCCTCGCTTGAGCTGACGCTCTGTCCGCCCGAGCTGGGGCACGTCAGCAGCAC